CCCCAAAACCCCAAAACCCCAAAACCCCAAAACCCCGGGCTTGCGTAAGCAAGTTGAACACATCTAGGTGAAGGTGTTTAGTTAAAAGATATTTTAATAATCAAGTTATTCACTGTTTTTCTCTAGATAATGCTCGATTTTCTGAAGCATTTCTTGAGCGGTGTAATCGAAGTTGAGTGAAGCTTCTTCTCCATTCATCGCTACTGAGTACAGATCGTACGCTTTGGCAGCTTCAAGCTCATCAACAAAAGTGCCGATGTAACGCTTGACTTGATCAACGTTGATAAGCGCCTGCCAATTTGAATTGTTTCGGGAGACTCCAATGTACTTGGACCGTCTTCTAAGTTGCTTTTTGTGAGCACTCTTAGCTTTCTTTGGTGATGAAGCAAACCCAGTCACAAGATGATTAAGGATGCGCCATCTCATCTCAATGAGTCTTTGCTTGATGTCAAGTTCCTTGGCTTGGCGCTTTCTCTTTTTGAGCATCGATCCCTCACCATTCATTTGGCTCCACTCCACAAGACCAGCATCTGTTTGACATAAGCCTCCATGAGGCGTGTACTGAAGAACTTTCATGTCAGATGCTCTTGAGCAATAATCACTTTTATTATTTTGAGGATACGGAGTCGTGAAGCTATTCTGGCAACTTAAAAATCAGCAATCTTGAGCCTCTTTCGCTCCCTCTTCAAGCTGGCCCATTCAGTACACTGAACTGAGCTTCTGAACAATGTCTGAGTAGCTCCACATTGGGAGGGAACTTGAGTTTGCGTTGTTAGCAAAGTTGGTAAAGTTCATTTTTATTATTATGAAGACTTAATCCTAGTTTTTAAATAGCATTCTCTTGGCTATCTTAAAAAGTTTTTATACTTTGATGATCTTCGAAGTATTATAATTTTTGGGTCCATGAACAATTAAATAGGGTTTTAGATAATTAACCCTTTCATAAGTCTCAATATTTGTACTCAGAGATCCCGTATATTTACTCATTTCTTATGAAATGTTTCTCACATAAGAGCATAATACATTGATATATGAAACTGTCCTTTTCTGATTTGTTGCAATTTTATTAATGAAGAGTATGCTTAACATCAAATCTCACTATGAGAGGTCCTAGCGATGCATGTTAAAGAGTTCACTCTACAGTTATTGTATATATTTGCCAGTAAAATTTTTTAGAATTTTTCATAAAGTAGCCTGTTAGAAAATTTGCTTTTTATAATTCTTCTTATATAATAAATGGTAGACAGACCCGACGACTAGTACGATAAAACTAAATAATCTAACCTTAAACATATTTGAATTTAATCATCATTGATAAAACTGTTAAATATGAAGTTGCCTGACTCGGTTAGAACGAATTTCTGAATATAATAATCGAGGTAACCTTCTGAAATTGTGGTGAACGCTTTTAGAAAAATACTATTAACTAAGGCTGACTAAAATTCAACTATAGCTTCCATTTGCTTTCTCTGAGCCTAATGAATAATCTGAATGTCAAAATACTAGGACGAGTTCAAAATATGATCTTAACTAAAACTAGGGTCTCCTTGTCTCCTTATATTCCATTGTTATTAATGCTTCAGGAGGTATGGTATGTTTGCCTTTAATAACACAACTCATAGGTCCAATTCAAGCTGTAAAACTATAGAGAGCAATAAAAGTTAAGCTATAGACTTTTTCAGATGCTTTTTGATATTTTCCGAGCCTCAGCTAAGCTGTTAGTCTATCATGAAGCTTCACCACTTATGGTGTTGGAAATTTTTAAAAACTTTACAAGGTTTATCAGCGTCCAATCGTATTTTGCAATTTTAGAACATCAAAAAAAGCTCAGATTGAGGCCACGCGCTTGTGAATCAGCATAATTATTGTTAGACTGGTCTAGAGATGTTCTCCATTTTTGAGAATCTAATTAATAGACAATAAACGAAATGAGAATTAAGGAGTTCTGAGAATTAGGTAGACAGTATGCTTATCCCTTAAAGAGTCTGCCATGGTGTCAAACTAGCAATAGTATCTCTCTGACTCTTGTTCTTTGTTTCTTCAAAAATATTGCCGATATTTGGATATCATCCATGAAAGTGATTTATTCTGAAAATGGTTTGAATGATATCCAATTCTTCACTCAAATTCATTCTACGTGATGGCTGAGCGGTAAGGACACCATTTTGCTTCTGACTAATCATCCAAGAGAGATTTCCTTGCCTTTGGATGGACAAGCTTCCTGTTTTCATTCACAAATTGCCAAGAAAAAAAAACTCACGAAGCAACACAAAAATTGCATAAATATTAAAATTAGGAGTTGTCAACAAAGAATTTACTAAAAAACTCTTTGAAACTAAAGAATTTGATTGTCTAGTAATTGGCTGAAATATTTCCCAAATTTCTTATCATACCTCAAAGGTAAAAAAGACACATCAAGTTGTAGCCTCATGGACGAGCAAACAAACTCAAGAAAAAGTTGTTCATGGGCCATGCAATTGCTATCAACAGATTTTTAAATGGCAAAGTAGACTCTTTCACCTTGATTGATATAAAAGATAATTTTTTGGCTGGTCTATTAGCTTCTCTCGGCCCACACTTGGCTAACAAACTCAGCCATAATAAATATGGTAGAAATTTAGATATTTTCCTTACTCTCAGTCAGTCTATTAAACATCTCTACCAAGCATATACTATCCAAAAAATACAGTACAACTTAGGACTCCTATCCCCTCCCCTATCCATCCTTCTCCAATACCAAAGTTCCCCCAGTCGTGCCCAAAAGTACCACTATCCTTCTTCATCAGCCATATTTTCCCATAAATAAATAAAAATTTTGACAAACATCCCTTGCTTCTACTGCTTACTTCCTCTTCGTGAAGAAAAACTTTAGCTTATTAAAGACCTGGTCCTTCTTTAGGAAAAATTGCTTTTGAGCAATAGACAATGCTGGTAGGAAAGCCAGAGGTATGAAAGAAGGATTATGGGATGGGTGAGACGCGGAATATATAGGATTGGACTGGTTCAATTGAAGATAATTGAAAAGGGGTTTTGGGGTTTTGGGGTTTTGGGGTTTTGGGG